AAATAGAGCACACCCCCCCCCCCCCCCCGCCCTCGAGCGCTCCCAACACCATGCAAACGTCGCCCGAAGCAGGACAGAAGAAAGAGAGGCTCCAATCCGCGGGTCCCCCAAGTGTTTCTTGTGCGTGCGCTCGCGTCTACGGTATGCTTTTACTGGCACGAGTATCGACCACGCCATCCGTGCAAAAAACTACCTACTTAGCTGAACACCGTTGCTACATCGCGTCAGCTTGAAAAGGAGAAAACACACAACAAACTCGTGCGCGCGCGTGTGCGTCTTCTGCCGCCACCTGTGCTCTTACCGCTCCGGTGAATGCAATGCCGGCACCCGAGAGGTAGGATTCTGGGGGTTCGTAGTCATCGGTGCTCCTGTGGCACCCGCACCTGTTGATTGGGGGATCGGTAACAAAAGATAGTAAGGAGGAGTTCATTAGGACCGTAGGACCGCACCTTTTCATAGGAATTGGGAAGGTAAGAGTAGACGGAGGGCCGTCATGAGCATTCGTTGCTGTTGTTTGCAGTCGCTGTCGGCGCCTTTGTTTCACCGTCTCCACAAGAGCAGCAAACATCCTCGTCTCTTCGCACCCGAAACCCACACCCCTACATAGAATGAAGACATCCACGATAGTCGCGGGGCTGGCTGGCTGGCTGGCTGGCTGGCTGCGGTTGTATCGTGCGGTGCAAGGGTACAATACTGGCGCAATTACGGCGGTAAACCGTCTTCGGCTGCCGGTTTGTTGCTACCAAACATTGGCGTATGCTACATGAACAGGAGTAGTGCGTCTCACGCCATACTTAACTACCGTACCCCTCAACAGAGCCAACAGTGTCGCACACAATCCTGCTACACATGTACGTTACTTTGATTATCTCGCCGTCGAAGGTGACGGCACAAACATGAAGCTATTCAACAACAGAGGGGCCCTGGCTAGCTAAGACAACCCCCCCCACCACCGCGTTGGGTGTGTCGCAGCAGGCGACGCCGGAAAAATCTTGTTCTGCATGCATCGCCTCGCAATACTGTAGGCGGCGCGACTCCTAACAACGATCGGCCCGGAGAACCCGATCGAAAACATCTCGACGAACACCGACAACGGGTCCACAATCCGGTAACCCGGGATAACCCGGTTCGACTAACCCGGCCGGGTAACCCGGTTCGGTGTTGTTCATGATGGTAATTGCCGTGAGGCGCGCTGAAGGAAACACAAAGGCACACAGCACTGCAACACCGCAACATGAAGAAACAACCGCCGGTACACTCGGGTGCTGTACGTAGTGCCCCTTCAGAGCAAGTTTAGGATGGGACAGCCGATACGCAAAGTGATTGTAAGCTTACCAAGAAAAAAGACCGGGCAAGGGGCACGCAGACGCTACAAGGAAACCAGGGACCCTACCCTGCTGCTACAGCAGTGTCCAGACAGCAGCACGCCTACTTTCAAAAATATTCTATATAGCGTTTCGTCTGTGGGTCCATCTGTGTGTGTTCGGACCGCCAGCACGGCTAATGCATACTTCCAGTATAACATAAACTTCTACGCATACTGTCGTAATGTAGATAGCTTGCCTATGGAAAACGTTGTTGTCGTAGCAGAGGACGTTGGGGGAGAGGGTGGTGTTCTGCAGGGCCTCGTAGGTGACGACGGGGGTGTCGGTGGCAGGCGTCCCCGCGGGGAGCTCCTTGGGACTGATGCTGTTCTTGATGACCCCGATGAGCAGCATGATCAGCGCTGGCACGATAAGTTCGATTGCCTAAAGAAAAAGACAAGCAGCAAGCACGCAGACGACAAGCATGAGAGAGATGAACAACAGCCCCAAGCCCCGAGCAAGGCACTTCAGGACAGAGGGATACGCGCGTGCGTAAGCGTTTCCACCAAGGGTTCCGAGATGGGGCTCGATTTTGAGGTGTACTGTACTCAGTCCGCAAAGAAGACTGCTGTCTGTGGCATCATTCTCGCGGCGTGGAAAGGAAGCTATATGCCTCACAAAAGGCAGAGTGTTCTGCACTTTGTCTGTTAAAAGAACAAGACATTCATAGCTCTCGAGAAGGAGAGGGCAAGAAAGGAGCGAGCAACCCCCTTTGGAGGCACTACGTATTGCAATGGAACAAGGTGTTGGCTGGCATGAACAATCTGTCCGTCCACCTACCCTGGGAAGAAACAATTTTCTCTCATGCACAACCCAAACGGCCACCTGCAGCTCTGTCTTCTCTCCGACGACGACGCATTGTATTGTATGGGAGTGGAGGAAATCTACTCGCACCTCGGCGTAGCCGCGGACGAACCCATGCGAAAGAAGAGCAAGATACGAGCTCATCAGAGGGGAGTTGCAGTGCCCCCGGCCCCACTTCACATTCTTCGGCGTATACCGTATATGACACACAAGATAACACACCCCCTGGACCGATTTTCAAAGCTCGATTACCCCACGACGAAGAGGATGCAGAAATGAAATAATACGTTTTCGAACAGCTCTCGACGAGACGGTTCCAACGCCGCCGTTTTCGGCGCTGTGACTCTTCCTGCTGTTGAGAAATCGAGCTTTGAAAATCGGCCAAGGGGGTGTGTTATCTTGTGTCATATACGGTATTCGTCTCTTTCTTGAAGCACGGTTCACGCTCACCGCCGTACTTGTAGCCATGTAGTTCTACAAGTCTACAAGTATTTAGGTGAGATCTTGCATACTGGCTGTGGCTGAACCGCATACAGTATTGCCACTATCCGCCGCTCTCTTCGCTATTTTCCGTAGGGAATCATTGCTTGCTGTTGTGCATAAAAAGAATGGGGGGGCAATCAGGCCCCGGCTCAACCTCCTGCCCTGCATACTGCGGTGTGTGTGTGTGGACACTGACGTGTCGGAGGCATCAGGAACCGCTTGACATGTTCCTTAGTCGTTCTTTCCCATATGAAACACAACGGCGAGGTGCCTGTTGCTGCTGAATTGTTCCTGCGTCATCGCGTGGTTACATGCTGCAGCAGCAGTAGCGCGCAGCCTTTTCTGCATGTCACATCGCCGAGGAAAAAGCACCCCCAACTATTAATGCGCACGGCGGCGTGCAACGGACGGTGGTCGTGGCGATGGTTGTGGGAAGACGCGGCTGCAAGACAGGCAAACACCGCGTTGTTGTTATTTGTTGCGTAAAGAACATCAGATGCTGTTCGTCGGGCGGTGGGGGGGTCCGGTCTCCATCTTCATTGTTCCAGGAAAGGAAACGAGCAGCAGCAGCCCCAACAAGAGAGAGGGGGGGTGAGGCAAAACGACCGTGGGCATCATCACCAGCTCGGGCAGTACTGTGGTAGCTCGCACCCATGCCTAGGTGTCTCCGCCACCAGTGTGGCCATGGTCACCGCGACAAGCTTCCTCTCTCGAACATCGACGAGCAAAAGCGACACAAGAAAAGGTTGTTTCAGATTTCTGATTTCCTGGTTTTGTCCTGATGTTGCTTTTGCCGCGCGCTTACAAGCAGTACCGAAAACTAATGGCTAAATGGGCCGACGGCCAAAGGTTCTGATCTCACCAGCTGGAGCTTGGAGCGCCTCTTGGTGAGGAAGTTCTTCCTCACCAACGCGCCGAACTGGCGGCAGAAGTCACCACACACCATGTTGCAGGCCAGAGATAAGGATCGTCGAACTGAATATGACACGCCGCTGAACTGCTTGTTGTTGTCGGTAACCGAAGAGCTTGTTGTTCGGTTGGCGAAGCAGGTGTGTGTGTTTTGTGTGTGCGCGTGTCAACCCCAGCAAGGGGGGAGCCAGCAGCGCAGAGCTAGGTGGCCGCAACGAGGTGCGTAGCTTATGGCGTGTGTGTGGCTGGTGTGTCGGCAAGCCGCCGGTGTGGTGTGGGACGGGATTGGTGTGTTGGTGTGTGTGTGGTGTGAGCGAGGGGCCTGTGGACCGATCCGCGAACCGTGCGGCGGTTAAATATGCGGTAAATTTCGGTGATTGATGCGGTGAATTCCCGTCCTTTTAGCGGATAATGCCCACCTATTGTAAAAATAGGAGAAGCGTTTCTTCGCGGCGGTGGCATGGAGTATGATACCATATCATGAATGGCGGTCTGTTGTTGTTTAGATCCTGTGGTCGTATGTGTGCACTGCACAGATTCTCAGTAGAGGGAGAGAGAGACAGAGAGCGAAAAAATAAGTAAAAAATCTCCAATTTTAGTGATTTTATCGGTCGTGGTGGCAGAGAAGTATTGACGTGTTTACAGTAGAGCAACGTTCTTCATGCGAGTCCTCTTCAACTCCCCGATCTCCAATTTTAGTGATTTTATCGGTCGTGGTGGCAGAGAAGTATTGACGTGTTTACAGTAGAGCAACGTTCTTCATGCGAGTCCTCTTCAACTCCCCGATGGAAAAGCGGGGTATTGTTGTCTCTCGAACGGGTGTGTGTGTACCACTACAAGCCACCTCTCGTTGGATGCAAATGTACGTGACCAGAGTATTATCTGAAAAAAACACGAAGACGAGGCAGAATATCGTCACCGCGGTGCATGCGGTGGCTTGATCCGTTTCTGTAAAATAGAAGGAAACAGAACACAACAAATCTTCTCTTTGTGGTTGCCAGCGGGCGTTGACATTTTTTGTGGTTGCCGGGATATCATACTGGTCGGATTTTACAAGAAGATGACAATGTACACATTATGTACCCTGGCTTGGCAAACGAAAATTACGCACGGATTGTTCGTGGGTCGGTCTCGTGACAGAGGTAAACAAACCCCCTAGCCTTTCCCAGCAAAAGCGGCGAAGCGTCTGCAGTACAGCCGGCGAAACCAAGCGGCCAATCGGGGGAAACACCGTAAGGGGCGAAATTGCACGCCGATCCAACCTTACTCACGGTAGGATATGTAGGCTGGTGAAATGGTGCATCGTAAACAAACTTGTGGAATATTTTGCGAACAGCTTCCCGTCCGCCACCTTCTCACTCCCACCCCCCCCCACTCCCTGGGAATCTAAGGAAAGAAACCAAGGATAAGGAGGGTCTAGAAGTGTACGGAATGTTGAAAGAAGGAATAGGGTTCAAGGATTACCTACATGGACCAATGGATGCAGGGACAAAGCTTAAGGTCAAATTCAGGACCGGGGACATAGGCCTTCGAGAACGTCGACGAAGACATAGGACGGTAGACGACGAAGACGACAAGTTCAAATGTGATTGCGGCTTCGAATGCGAAGACCGTGTTCATGTAGTCGCGGAATGTCCGTGGTACGAAGAGGAGAGGGAAGTGTACATGACTGAGCTGGGAAAAATACAAGGGACGTACAGGGAGATGTTTGAGGCATGGAATAGAGAGGAGAGGACGGTAGCTGTCCTGGGGAGTAGGAAGTGGTTTGAAAAGGCGGGAAGGGATATCGTTAGGATAGACAGACTAGGGAAGACATTTTTGAGCCACCTTTGGCAAAGTAGGAAGGAACGATTGGCCATCGGTGATCGGTCCTGTGGGAACAATGCTCCGTCCTCTCGAGGACGCGTGGTCAATGGTCTAACCGCTCAGGCATGCAAAACATAAGAGTACGCCCCCCCCCCCCCCACTCCCTGGTCCGGTGAGAACCCGGCGTGCTCCGTCCCGGCTTTGTAGGGATGCGAGGTCAATGGTCTAACTACTACGTCATGCACGACTATGAGTACACCCCCCCACACACTCCCTCTTCCTCTCCAGGATGATTCCCATCGTGCACTCTTCCATCTCTTTCTATCGATCGATATACAGCAGCTACATAGCTCCGAAACGTCACACATTAACCCGCCGACTCTTCTTCTTCCGGCTGGCAGCATCGTCCACCCCCTCATCACCCCCGCCGCCGGTCTCCTGTCGCCCCCTCTTGGGACCCTTGATCGAGATGGGTCGGGATGGTCGCCCCGCGCTTCCGCTCCCACCATCGCCGCCTCCCCCGCCCTTGCCCCCATCTCCACCTCCCACTACCTTGCCCGCCCCGCCCTTCCTCGACTTCTCTGCGAGCTTTGCCCGGTACTCGGAAACCTTGTTTGCCCACCCGGGGGGCGACTTGGCGAAAACCTTGGCGAAAGCCTCCTTTGCTCGCAACTCCTCCGCCTCGGAGAGCGGCCGTCGGGGCGGCCGGGCCGCCCGAGCCGCCGCTTGGTTCACGACGTCCTCCAGCGCCGAGCGTGGCAGGAGAGCGGCAACGGCGCCTTTTCCCGGCGCCGACGGTTTTGGCTTCGACTTGTCGCCGCCGCTGGCGACAGCAGCAGCAGCCGCGGTGTCGACAGCAGGCGGGGGGGGGGGGGACGCCAGCGGCAAGAGGCCGGCGACAAGTTCGAGTGCCTTGATAAACACGGCGTCGGTGACGAGCGCCAACTCCAGCCCTGTCGAAAAAAGCTCCAATACGAGAAGCAGCGTCTGGGTTTGGATAGGGGCAAGGGAGGGCGGGTGGGTGGGGGGGGGTAAGAGAGAGAGACAGCCGAGAGAGGAGGGGGCTCGATGTTTAAAGGTGGAAGATCATGGGTCGCGCGTGTTTGCGCGAAACCGGTATTGCTTCAAACTGCCGACGGAGAAGAGGCAAAAACAGAGCGTCGCCTGTTGGATCCACCCGTTGCCCAACCGTTGTGGACTGGGGAATAAAAAGCACCAAGATCAAATACTGTCTGTTGTCTTGCGAAGGTGAACAAACCAAGAACAGCACCAGCACCAGCAACGACAGCAGCAGGTTCTTGTATTTTCCACCGCCAGACAACAAGAACAACTCCGGTCACCTCTGGCTTCAGAACCCGCGGCACCGCCCCCTTCTCTTTCCCGCCTTTCTTCCCGGCTACACCGGCAGCGACGACGCCTCCGCCATCTTTCGCCGGCGCTGCCGCCACCGCCGCCGCCGATGCGTCCGCGCTCCTCTGCACCAGCTCGCCCAGGCTCGCCCAAAGCCACCGCTGGTCCGCCATCCTCTTCACCGCCGCCTTTGCCGCCGGCATCAGCACCCCGGCGGCCTCGTCGCTCCCCCTCACCATCGCGCGGCACAGCATCGTGCAGACCAGCCGCCGGATGGCGGGGACATCGCTGTACCACCCTCGCCAGTCCTGGCCGGCCGTGGCGGCCGCGTCCTCTTCCTTCTCTGCGGCCGTCTCGGCTGATGATGATTCGATCGATACACAGAGGAGGCGACACAGGAGGAGGAGGAGGAGGAGGAGGAGGAACGGGAGGTGGCGGGGGGAGGGGAAACCTTTGTTGTGTGACGGATGTTGTGTGCTGCCTGCAGCAGCAGTCGGATGTCCGCTCCGGATTAAAGGGTGGCCCGCCGACTACCTACTTGATCAAAGAAACAAAAAAAAAAGCACCCACATCCACGCCAACACCAACACCAACACCAACACCACTAACAACAACAACAACAACAACAACAACAACGACAACGAAAACGACAATCGGATCCATTCAATCACCTGCGCTGGCACCGTCGGCGTCGTCGGCACCCCCGCCGGCCCGCCGCCGGCCCGCTGCCGCCGCCGCCCGCGCGTGCAGCGCCACGACGCACGGCAGCACGGCCCTCGTCACCCCGGCCTTAACCTCGCGCACGCCGAAGGTGTTGGCCCTGAGCATGTGGCGGGCGCTCTCCCCCAGGTCCAGGAGCTGCACCAGCGGCGCGTAGACCGGGTGGTCGCGCGGGAGGATGCCCCGCTCGCAGCACACCTCCGGAATCCTCTCCGACGCGTGCCGGTACATGAGCTTAGCCGCGAACGGCTCGGCGAGGAGCACGGACGCGAGCCCCACGCGGCGGCCGATCCCGTCCCTTTCCAGCTGGGTCGCCTGGGCCATCGGGGCTAGGGCCGCGCCGCCGCCGCCGCCGCCGCCGCTTCCTCTGGCGTCGTCCTGGGAACTGCCCCCGCTACCGCTACCGCTCTTCCGCTTGTTGCTGTTGGTGGGTGTGGTGGCGGTGGGGGCAGCGCCGCCGCCGCCGCCGCCGCCGGGGCGAGTCTTGAGAGGTGACAGTTAGTTTCAGGGGGGGTTGACCATGGTAGGCACACGGGGGGGGGGGAGGGGGTTAGTGACGGGTAGGTGATTACATTGGCGGGGATGAGTTGCTGTCGCGAGTGCGTTTTCCGGCGACGGCGGCGGCGGCCGTAAATAGGCCACGGCAGGTACGTACGTACAGCGAACGACATACACTACTGTACCAACACCGATGCCGACGCCAACATCACCACACCCACTTCCAGAGTCAAAGAATGCAACAGCGGCAGTAGCAACTGCCGGCCATGGGCCCCTGGGGCGGCAGGACCGACTCTAGGGAGAGGGCGAAAACACAAGCAGGGCGTGTGAACGTGAGGGAAAAAAAACAGGTTAACAAGTTCGGCAAAAGCGTTCGTACATACCTCCTGGTGTCGTAGGTCGTTCTCTATCTTCGCGGAAATCTTGGACCACTCTTCCTCCTGTCTCAAGGCTTCCTTGTTGTACTGCGTCCCCTGCAACGAATAAAAAAATGACGAGAGTTGGCCCGTTTCTCGACAAAGTACCGAAGTGTATCAACGCCATGGAAAGGCAACACATACGACAGGAGAACGACAGCAAATGGACGAACAGTTTTGCAGTTCGACTTCCACAGCAAAACTACCTTCAGTTCGTACGCCTGGGGGGCGGTTGGGGGGGGGGGGGGGGGGGGGGATTCTGGGGGGGGATGGGGGGGGGAAGGAAAAACCCCCCCCGGGGTTTCCCCCCAAAATAAAACCACCACCCAAAAAGGGGGGGGGGGGGGAAAGGCTTTTGAACCCCCGTCCCCCTTTCCCCCTAAATAAAAACACCCCCCGGGGTTTTTCCCCTACATGGGGGTTTTTTGCCCAAAGGGGGAAACCCAAAATTTCCCCCCCACAACCGTTCCTGGTGGAAAACTCCTGGCCCCTTTCCCTTTATTCCAAAAAAAAAACCCAAAAACCGGTGGGAAATTTCAATGGGCTGTCCCCCAAAAAAAAA